TATTACCTCCGCGCAACGGAGGTCATGTAATCGGTCTCGTGTGTGTGTGTGTGTGTAGCCACCGCGCGATCGATAGCGCGTCGAGTCAGCGAGTGGCGAGTCAGCAGCAGCCACCAGTGAGCGGCGAGGCAGCAGAAGGCGAGCCAGTCAGCAGCCGCCACCAGCGAGCACATACATGTTACATGCTCGCGGAGGTATGCACTCTCCGTGAGTGCCCTCTGTCTATAGTTACTTTTACAGCACGCTCCGGCAGCGAGATCGTGTGATGTCGACAATTAATCCTGCGAAATAAACACCCTCTTTCTCTCCCCATAATTATCACGGCGGGAAGAAATTCACGTGTGGAGTGCAATTCGCGGCAGCTCGATTTGCGGTTCAGAACTCCAGTACGTTTAACCGAATAAGAAGACGTAACGAATGATGAATGATCCATTACAGTTATTATAGTACTTTTAATGTCAATGTAATCTGTACAAATGTGTGAGCGAGAAAGCAGGCATGCGTGCGTGCGTGAGTGAGCAAGCGAGCGAGTGAGTGGGTTGGGTTGCATTGGGTTGAGTGAGTGAGTGAGTGAGTGAGTGAGTGAGTGAGTGAGCAGGCGAGCGAGCGAGTGGGTTGGGTTGCATTGGGTTGAGTGAGTGAGTGAGTGAGTGAGTGAGCAAGCAAGCGAGTGAGTGGGTTGGGCTGGGTTGAGTGAGTAAGTGAGTGAGTGAGTGAGTGAGTGAGTGAGTGAGTGAGTGAGTGAGTGAGTGAGTGAGTGAGTGAGTGAGTGAGTGAGTGGGGTTGAGTGAGTGAGTGAGTGAGTGCGTGCGTGCGTGCGTGAGTGCGTGCGTGCGTGCGTGCGTGCGTGAGTGAGTGAGTGAGTGAGTGAGTGAGTGAGTGAGTGAGGGATTGCGTGCGTGCGTGCGTGCGTGCTTGAGTGAGTATATATATATTAGTTACAATAGTTGACGTCATTTTCCGTATACATAGTATCAAGAGCTAATTAATTAATATGGCTTAGCTCTTGATAGTACGCAGGTTAAATTACACTTCTAAACAGCAGCACGACTTCAACTGCAGTCCACAGATTGTAATGAGCATGCACTGTTAGCGTCAACCGAGCGCGCGCGCGAAAATGATTCCTGGTCGCTGCACCTCTCATGCGGCGGTCCACACCGACACAGCAAACCTAGATCAGCGACGGACGTGGTCGCACGCGCGCAGCTACGCAGGCGTTTTGAGGAAGCGCTAGCTTTTCTATGACGGAAGGACGAATCGGACACATGTAGCGACGGCGTCGCGCGTTCTCGCGAGCGAATTTCCTGCGCTCGTCTAATTTCGAGCGGCGCGAGCGGGACGAGCTACGGCGACTAAACGGAAAGATTTGACGTTATTTCTCGCATGATTATCACATATATCCGTGCCAACCAGCGAGGCGCGTGTATAGACGGACGCGTGCACGCACGCACCGCACAGTACGCACGGCACGGTATGCACGCACGCACGCACGCACGCACGCACCGCACCGCACGGTATGCACGCACGCACGCACGCACGCACGCAAGGACGCACGGCACGGTATGCACTCACGCACGCACGCACGCACGCACGCAAGGACGCAGGGCAC